TTTTCAATTCCAGAATTCCCATTTGATTCCTTTAAAGAATTGTTTGCTGAGATTATTTAAGTCATTATCATCATACTTTCCTTTAATTCTTTAGATGTGGTTTCTATTCATTTTTTTCCTGCTATGTCCAACATCTGGGTCCACTTGGACAGTTTCTATCACCTGCTTTTTTCTCTGAATATTGGTCACATTTTTCCTGTTTCTTTGCCTGTCCTCTTATTTTTGGCTGAAAACAGATGTTTCAATTGGCTCATCAGTTGCAGAAAATGTGTCCCTTTAATGCAGAATGATAATGACAGGGAAGGAGCAAAGGGAGCTCCGTACTTTCTGCTCAACTGTCCTCTAAAGCTAAAATTGCTCAAGTCTATAGTAAAGTCTATAAAAGTCTATTAATTTTCATGAGACTGCCGTGCTACCGGCTGCGCTAAGGGGGTGATTATAAAGGTCTATTAATTTTTAAAAACTTGATGTTTCAGGTGACATATTAGAGCAACTTTGAATTCTGTTCCTCCCAGCCAAAGGTGGTTGCTGCTGTTTTTGTTTGTCTGCCTAGTAGCTTCCCTGAACTAAATCCGTGGACTTTGTTTCCCTTGTTGGGGTGGCACTGACTTCTCCGTCCAGTATTTTTTTGAGGCTGTCTTCCTGGGGGTCACCTTGCATCTGAACTGGTCAAGGCTGTGCGCTCACAGCTCTGGGGGGCCTGTGCGTGGGTGGGGAGCACACTCGAGTCAGGCGGTCTTCTCCCGCCCCTCTGGGAGGGTGACAGACTGGTGGTGGCTTCCTCACCTCTGGTGTCCCTGCTGCAGTTCTGGCTGGCCTGCCTGTCACCGCACAGCCCAACTGGGGGGGCCCAGTTCCCTGAGCCACGAGCCTTCCTGCTGCCTCTCCGGTGGAGCCGCTCTGCCCGCTGCTCTGGGCAGCGCGGGGCAGCCCGGCCAGAGGGCCGCAGGCGCCTGTGCTCTTGCCTGCTCGAGCAGCTTGTTCAAGCAACCACTCCTCAATGCGGGTGCCCTGGGTCAAGGCCCAGAGCACTGGAATGGTTGTTCTGGTGAGCCTCACTCTGCCCATCGGAAGCCCACCCTTCCCATGTGTCTTTGTGGACAGTCGGGTCCAGGAGGGCCCCCATGCCCTGGCAGCTGGCCAGCTCCACGCCCCCGGCAGCAGGAGGGCAGGAAGGGCAGTGGGATGGCAGCAGGGCATAGGGGGAGGGTCCTCAGGCTGCCAGTGGCTCCCAGCCAGCCGCACTCTGGTGGGGCGGGTCAGCCCCAGTTGAGGGCCCGCCGTGTGCAGGGAATTCCTGCTTGGTGTGGCTGGGCAGCGGGAGCAGACCTGGGGGTGCAGTGGTGAAGTGGGTGGGGAGCGCGGTGAGGGTCCCCTGTGGGGTGAGCCAGGTCCGGTGCTGGGTGGTGGACGGGCCACAGGTGTGGCAGGGGTGGCATGGCAGGGGGGCGCTGGTAACTGGGAGGTTTGTCATGTCCACCTAAGGAAGACGCTGAGGCAAAAAACAGAATTTTAAAGAGTTTGCTTGAGCCAAAGTGAGGACAGCTGCCCAGGACACACTTCCAAGTTGCGGTGGGCCTTTGTCGCAAGCAGGTTTTTAAAGGCCAAAGGGGACAAGGAGTGGCTGATGCACAGTGTCGGGAACACTTGCTGGCTCACAGAGGTGACATGGAGCAGAGACTGGCTGTGCGTTGTTGGACCACAGGGCACCAGCTACGGTGTCAGCCTGGGGCGGCGTCGGGTCCGTTCTTGGCTACGTGGCATCAGCCGGTCCAGAGCCCACACGGCAGGTGGCTACCTGAGGCCAGCGCTCAGCTCCGGCCGCGACGCTGTCTCGGTCCACGCTCCCCTGGCCTGGTCATTTAAAGGGGCTGGCGTTCCTCAGACAGGAAGTCTCTTTTCTTCCTCAGTCGGGTGTGACAGGGCCCCAGGGGAGGCAGTGGGGCCGGCACCAGGCTGGAGCGGGCTGGGCGGCGGTGGACGCAGTGGCCTCGGCGGTGCAGTGTGGGTCCCGCCGACCTCTGCCCAGACACGCCCTCGTGGGCAATAAAGCCTGGGGCAGCCCGTGCTGGGAGGAACCGGGGCCGGCACCTGGATACGGGATCGGCAACCATGGCTCCCCCAGAGCAGCCTGCAGACTTGAGGAGGTAATGGCTGCGCCCCGAGCTCTGACCCCCAGTCTGGGCCCACTGGCAGGAGCCCTGCTCAGAGCCCGGCTGGGGTCCCCACAGGCCTGGCTCAGTGGGGGTGTCCGGGAGGGGGAGAGAGGGTCCGTCCAGGTTCCACCTCCAAGGCAGCCTCTGTGGCCCCACGTGTGTGTGTGTGTGTGTGCACGCGTGTGTGCGCCTGTGAGTGCCTTGTCCCTTTGGGTCCCCCACCCAGCGGAGAATCCCCCAGGGACCCCGGGGAAAGGAGAGGATGCGCCAGGCCCAGTGCAGGCTGGTCTCGACTGCCCAGTACAAAGGGGGCCAGGAAGATAGGAGGTGGCAGGGCAGGGGCAGGGGCTGGCTGCCCTGAGGGGGCGTCACCCAGGGAAGCGCATCAGAGGCTGCCACCCTCCTGTGAGGTCTCCCTCTCTCCTCTTCCTCCTCCCGAGGGTCCCCTCCTCTTTCCTCCCCCTCCTCTAAGCCACAGCCCCCACCCCTCCCTTCCTGGGATTCTCCTTGGGGCCCCAACTTGGAGCAGGGGCTGTGCCTCCCGTGTGCAGAGGTGGGTTCTAGGTGCTTGGGGGCCTTGGGGACCCTGCAGTATCCAGAGCTGCCCATCAGGAGAAGGACTGAGGTGGGTCCCACAGCCGGGCCCCTCAGCACCCACCGCCGTCCCCAGGCTCCGCGTCCAGCGCTGTGGGCCAGGCCGTGTGTCTCCAGGGGCAGTGGGGGTGGGGTCCCGATGCCTGGACAAGGGTCTTGCGTCAGCCCTCGCCCAGCATCACAGCCGCCCTCCGACCTCCCAGTGTGCACGGGAACCTCCACCCTGAGGCTGAGTCACCCAGACAAGGAGCGAAGGTCTCTGTGGGGCTACAGCGTGGCCCGCAGGGCGTCCAGGACACAGCCCTGACCCCAGCCCCACTGACCCTGCCTGACCCCACCCCAGACCACCTGCCCCCCCTGCAAAGACAGAAACCTCCCCAGCAGGGCCTAGGGCAGCTGCGTGCACAGCACACCTCACACACGCACATGCACACAGCACACAGCACACGCAGCACCCACACGACACCCACAACCACACGGCACACCCCACACGACACACACATGCACACAGCACGCCCCCCCCACACATACAAACACACACGCACCACGCGTCCAACAGTCCTGCCCTCCCTCGGCCTGCGGGTGCTGCCCCTGTCACCCGTGAACTCCCAGCAGCCGCCCCCACAGGTTGGGGCAGAGTGTGGTGCTCTGTCCTGCCCGGAGGAGCCGAGTGGGTGTGGGGATCCGCACGGACTCCCGTGTGCACGTGTGTTCACGTATGACCCTGTGCAGACGTTGGTATGAGCGCATGGCAGAGCCTCTGGAGTCCCTAGCACCCCCTCCCAGCGCCTGCCCCAGGGAGGTCTGCCCAGAGCAGGGGCAGCATCCTGGGTGGGTGGGGGCCCTGTGCTGAGGGTCCAGAAGCAAAGGCCTGGGCCTTCTCACCTGTGCCCACGGAGAGTCTGATAAAACTGCTGTGGACCCATCAGGGGACCCGCCCCAGGCCTCTCTGGCTGGGCAGCATCCTCATCCAGGGCCGCCTGCGGGTCCTGCCAGGGATCAGGGGAGGCGGTGGTAGGGGGCAGAGAAAGTGTCCCCCCACTCCCCTCCCTCCTCCCTCCCACACTCCCCTCCCTGCCCCTCAACACTCCCCTCCCTGCCCCCCACTCTCCCATCCCTGCCCCCCAATCCAATACTCCCCTCCCTCCTCCCTGCCACACTCCCCTCCCTGCCCCCCACTCTCCCCTCCCCTCCCTGCCCTCCACTCTCCTCTCCCCTCCCTGCCCCCCACTCTCCTCTCCCCTCCCTGCCCCCCAATCCAATACTCCCCTCCCTCCTCCCCCCTCACACTCCCCTCCCTGCCCCCGTAGGCTCCTCCTGGTCACCAGCATGGTGGCTGTGCTGCTTCAGGAAGCAGGTGCAGCCCCAGCACCCCAGGTATGTGTGGGGGCCCCTCCCACCCAGTCCCCACTCCCAGCTGTCACCCTCTGCCCCAGCCAGCAGGGGACAGCAGTTTGCTCTGACCCCTGTAACCTAACCCTAACCCTAACCCTAACCCAACCCTGAGGGCACTGAGATGGAGCTCCAGGATAAAGGGGCAGGTCCCCTCTGCTGGGGCCTAATGGGCGGCCAGGTGACCCAGGTGGGGGAGGTGGGCCTGGAGGGTGGTCAAGTGACCCAGGTGGGGGAGGTGGGTCTAATGGATGCCCAGGTGACCCAGGTGGGGAGGTGGGCCGGATATCCAGGAGGCTCATCATTTGGGTCAGGCTGGCAGCCTCAGGGACTGGCCCGCAGTCCCGACATCCCAGAGGCTCTAACCTGCCCGCATCCCCGCAGACACCAGTGCCCTCCATCCACAGCTGTGACTCTCTCCCAGGTCCCTGTCAAGATTCAAGTCAGACTCAGGGCCCCTGAGCAGGACACGGAGAAGTAAGAGCCCCCAAAGCCCCTTCCTGCTGTCCCCTGGGGCTGCAGCCCACCCTCCTGGGCCCTTCCTGAACTGGGGTGCACTGGGATGGAGAGGGGAGCCCTGTCCAGTAGCTTCTGGAGGAGGCGACTTGGGCCCCACAGGGACCGTCAGCAGAGCCCGGTGCCAGCAGCAGGGAGCAGAGCTGGGGGCCTGGGGCCTCCAGGGTAGCTCCCGCCCCGTGGCTGATGACTGCAGCCGGGGGCTTCAGTGGGAGCAGGATGCTCCCTCACATCCCTCAACCTCGGAGGCCCTCGGTGGAGGGTCCAGCCCCAGCCCCTGGCCCCGTGGCTCAGGGATGCGGGGGACGCCCGTGGCTCAGGGATGTGGGGGACGCCTGGCCAGATGGGCTGTGGGGCCTGTGGGCTGCTGGTGGTGGGGTGAGGTGGTTTCCTGCACATCTCATCCCTGGGCCCACTGCTGCCCGGGGCGGTGGGCGCCCTCCTGGGGGGCCCGGTGATGTCCACTCACCCTACCTGTGCGTCGGCCTGACGCTGCCGTGCTGGCAGGGCCTGGGGTGCCCGAGTGGTGGATCCTCCGGAGAAGGACGATTGGCTGGTGGGGCTGCTGCCTGCAGCGAAGCCAGAGCTCGCGGCCGTGGAGGAGAAACTGCCAGGTCCAGGGGGGGCCCGTCCCTCAGGTGGGAGCAAAGCCCCTGGGGGTGACTTGGACCGACAGGCCCTTGGGAGGGTCTCAGGAGTGAAACCAAGGCTATATCTTCCTCCGCCTGTCCCTAGGCACCAAGGCCTGGGTGGAGCTGGAGGACATCCTGGGCCTCTTCCGGAACCCCCTGCGGGGTCCTGAGCCAGACCTTGACGACCTGTACCACCCGCCGACCGTGGAGGACCAGGGAGGGGAAGGGCCCTTGCTGTGGGTGCTGCCACCTCACCAGGTGCTCCAGGGGCCAGAGGAGGACCAAGACCACGTCCACCACCCTGCGGAGGAGTCGGGGGGGCCCTGACTGCCCTCCCAGTCCTGCCCCTAGGCCCAGGCTGTTGGGACTCTGACCCCCGCCCAGAAAAATAAACACCTGCCCGCAGCAGCAGAAGGCCATGTGTGCCTCCAAGGCCAGTGACCCCGGGGCCCGGCCTGCTCTGTGTGAAGAGGGGAGCCCCCAGGGCCACACAGGGCCCAGCTGACCCTCAGCTCCCAGAATGTTCTGCTCCCCCCAGGCCCTCCCCATTGTGTGTCGGGAGGGGCAAGGCAGCAGTTAGGAG